ACACTGACACCTACAATCTTCCAACACCACTGACAACCTACATCTCCAACACTGACACCTACACTCTCCAACACTGACACCTACACTCTCCAACACTGACACCTGCCCCCTCCAACACTGACACCTACACTCCAACACTGACACCTGCATCCTCCAACACTGACACCTACACTCTCCAACACTGACACCTATCCTCCAACACTGACACCTACACCCTCCACACTGACAACTTCCACACCCTCCAACACTGACACCTACACTTCAACACTGACACCTACACTTCAACACAAACACCTACATCTCCAACACTGACACCTACACCTCCAACACTGGCACCAAACACACTCCAACACAACCACCTACACTCTCCAACACTCACACCGACGCTTCAAAACTGACACCTACACTCTCCAACACAAGCACAAACACTCCAACACTGACATTCCACACTCTCAACACTGACACCTATAATCTCCAACACTGACACCTACACTCTCCAACACTGACACCTATACTCTCCAACACTCGCACAAACACTCTCCAACACAACCACCTACAGCCTCCAACACAGACAACACCTACACTCTCCAACACAGACATCTACACCCCAACACAACCACCTACACCCTCCAACACTGACACTCCACTTCCCACAACACTGACCTACACCCTCCAACACTGACACCTACACTTCCAACACTGACACCTACACCTCCAACACTGACACCTACACTCCTCCCAACACTGACACCTACACTTCCAACACTAACACCTACACTCTCCAACACTGACACCTATACTCTCCAGCACTGACACTTATACTCTCCAACACTGACACCTCCCCACTCCCAACACCTTGACACCTGCTCCCACTAGCGAACCATCTCTCTCTCAGGTAGTAGTGACCAGGCTGGTCTCCTCCTCACACCAACAGACAAGATTGACGTGTTGATTCTAAAGGCATCACCACCACGGGATCGTTTATGTTAATGTTGCCTTGAACGATCTCTCTCTCTCTCTCTCTCTCCAGTCTCTACTTCTCTTCTTCCCTATCTAGTTTCTCCTTTCTGTTATCCAGCTCCCTTCCCTTTCCTTTTCCCCATTCTCTCTCTCCTCCTTTTTCCAGTTTCTCTCCTCCCTTTCTCCCTCTTTTCTCTCCTCCCTTTCTCCATTCTCTTCCTCCCTCCCTCCCTTTCTCCATTCTCTCCTCCCTCCCTCCCTCCTCTCCATTCTCTCTCTCTCTCTCTCATTCTTCCTTTATTTAGTCTCCTCCTCCTTCTTCTCTCTCTTCCTCCTCCTTTCCTCTACTCCATCTTCCTCTCTCCCTTTATGGGTCTTGTTGTTAGCCTTTAAACATCGTCAACTATAAGGACGCCATTAGCCTCATCACAAAACTAAATATTGGTACGACTATCATTCTGTTTTTCTTGTTGATCAAACGGGAGAAAACGAAACAACAAAAAGCGAGGAATGGCGCGTCTTGTCCGCCTTGGAGGGAGAAGATGAGGAAGAAAAAGGACTTGGATGAGGAGAGTGAAGGTGGGGAATTAACGCCATCAGGGTCTGAGAATGAAGGATATGAAGGCAGTAAATAGAGAAAAAAAGAAGATGGAGGAGAAAGGAAAAAGTAGGGAGATAATGTTGTTTGTGGGTTTCTTGTTCCTCCTTTATTCTCGTCTCTCTATCTTCCTCTATTTTTTAGCATCTCTTCCCTCTTATTTACTCTCCTTTGTCTCCTCTCCTTTTTAAACCTTTCTCTTCTTTTCCTTCTTCCCTTCCATCATCCTCTCTCTTTTTATTTTCTCCTTTTCCGCTTTTCTTTCACCTTTCATCTCTCTCATTTCCCATTTCTTCCTCCTTCAACTTCCCCATGCCTCTTCTTCCTATCCCGTTCGTCCTCTTCCTTCTTCCTTCCCCCTTCTCTCCTACTCCCTTCTTCTTGTTCCTCTTCTCCAACTACTTCCTTCTTTTCCACCTCCTTCTTTCCTCCTCTTCTCCCTTTCCCTCTTCTCTCTCCTTCCCTCTCCCCTCTTTTCTTCCTCACTTCTTCCTTCTCTTATCACCCTCTTCTCTTGTTTCCTTCTTCCATCTTCTTTCTCTTCCTCTCCCCACCATAAGACTAAGAGAAGAGAAGAAGAAGCCCTACTGCGTTGGCCAGGCGCCGTAGTTTTTATGGGACCAACAATGGAATCGAGGATGGCCGCCCACCAGGCTAAGATGATCGGCTTCTCTCTCTCTCTCTCTCTCTCTCTCTCTCTCTCTCTCTCGGTTCTGTTGTTGTTGGTATCAAATCCTTAAGCGGCCCGTGGTCTTCTATCACCTGTTTTTATCTCATAGTCTTTAACAGTCTTAGTGGTCTGTTTTTGTTTGTTGTTGTTTTGTCTCGAGTCTTTATCAGTCAGTGGCGTCTTTTTTTGTTTATGTCGCATGTCTTAAGATGGCCGTGGCTGTCTCTTCCTGCCTTTGTTTACTGATCTCCGGCTGACTCTTGTCTTTGGCTCTATAGTCTTTTTGGGCGTTGCTGGCGACCTGACCCTGACTTAATCTAACGTAACCAAACTAACCAACCTAACCTATAACCTTCCTCAACCTAACCTTCTTCATAACCCAACAGCATCATCGACTCAATATTACAAGAATGTCGTATCACCTGGGCTACATGTTGATCAATGATTCCCCAACAAGCGGGCGTTCATGTCTAACTAATCTATTAACATTCTTTTCACTATTCTTTCGAATCAGTGGACGAGGAGCACAATTATGATGTGGTATCTCGACTTTAGCAAAGCCCTTGACAGAGTCCCGAAAGACTAATAAGAAAGGTAAGCACATGGCATTAAAGGAGATATTCTAAAATGTGTTAGGGCGTGGTTACAGGACGAAACAGCGGTAGGCATTAACGGCACTAAATCCCATTGGAGCAACGTCACTAGTGGAGTTCCCCAGGCTCAAGTACTCGGACCATTATTATTTATTATATACATAACGACATGGATATCGGCGAAACCATAAGTAAATTTGCTGATGACACTAAAATAGAGCGTGATTAAATCTGACAATGCCTGCAACTACAGGAAAATTAAAAAATATAATTTTTGAAAAATAGCGAATTAGATTCAATGTGGATAAATGTAAAGAACTCAGTATAGGAGATATAAACAGGGAAACCAGATACCAGATGAACATGTTATTGAGAAATCCGCCTGCGAGGAAGATTTTGGTAGATGATAAAAGATAAGCCGTAAATAATGTTCATTTGTCAAACAAGGCTAAGAGCTAGACGCGGGTTCATACAAAGGGTGTTAGTTATAAAACCTAGCAGGGTCATCCTAAAACTGTATCTCTTTGTGATATGGATTATGCAGTTCAGTTCTGGTCACCGTACAGAATTGATAGATCCTGAAAGAATTAAGAGGAGAATGACAAAAACTAATCGGGCATTAGGAACCTTGAGTACAAGATTGAAAGCATCTAATTTGCTCTCCCTCGAGGACGTAAGTGAGGCGATATGATCGAGGTGTATAAATGGAAGTCGAGAACAACAAAGGGACATTACAAAGGTACTCCTATCCAACCAGGGCGAACTCGTAACAATGGTTTTAAATTAGACAAATTGATTTAGGCGCGAAAAAAAAGCATTGGTTTGGAAATAAGTGTGGATGAATGGAACAAGTTACCAAATATAATTAACTCGAATACGCTGAATAGCTTCAAACATAGGTTGGATGCTTATATGAGCAATAAGGGTTGAGTGTAAACGGACTGACCAGTATGGGCCATTGCCGCTGCAGTTTCCTCCATTCTTATGTTCTTATGTTCATCAAGCAGCTTCAATCTGGATAGGGGGGGGGAATAAACCAAACACCAAAACACAGGAACAAGCTTTATATCTCTTAAAGCTGGCTGTTGAAAGAATGTTAATCGTGATGAAGCTTTTATTCCAGCTTAAGTAAGACTCATACGACAAACACATCAATGGGTGAGAATAATGTCAAAGGTCACAGTTCTGGCAATACTGAGTCCACGGAGGGTCTTACAAGTGTGTTTAGAGGCACTTAGTTTTGTTGTTGTTTTACCGTGTGACTCAAGTGTGTTCGAGAGGGGAAAATAACATGCCTATGGTTACTAGTTCTCTCTCTCTCTCTCTCTCTCTCTCATTCTTCATAACTGCTGAGCTGTTGTTTTTATCTCCTGGGGTTTAATTTGTGACTCCTGGTTCGTCCAGCCATTAGGCGTCCCGGCCGTAAAGTATAGGGAGCGGTGTACCCCATCCTCCTCCGTCCACTATTACTACTACAACTAACTACTACTACTACTAATAATAATAATTTACTACAACCACCATCGCTACAACAACAACCACCATCACCCTTACAACAACTATTATCAGCTCTCCAACAACTACCATCACTACTACAACAACTACCATCACTACTACAGCAACCACCACTACTACACTACTACACAGCAACCACCATCACAACTACTACTAATACTACAACCGCCATCACATCAACTACTATTAATACTACAACCACGATCAATACTACTACTACTACTACTACTACCACCATTATCACTGTTACTTCTACCACCACCACCACACGCCCGCCCCTCACGGTTCCAAGACGTCTGGTGGACTCAAAGATGCAGAGTCCTATATTTACCCTGGCAGTTGAGTCCCTGGAGGAAGAAGGGGAGGAAGACGAGGAGGAGGAGGAGGAGGAGGAAGAGGAGGAGGAGAATGAAGAGGAAGAGGAAGAGGGAAGATACATTGTCCCGCATCTCGAATTTTTTGAGAGTCGTATTTCTAATTTTCCTTCTAAGTGAATATATACGTGGGCGTCTTAATGGCTCTTACGGTAAAAAATAAAAATTCCAAAATGGCGCCATAACTACACCAAGACTATACCTGAGTTAGATATGTCCTACTAGTTTAGAGATAAAGGTTAATATACAGGTTTGTAAATTTCCGCCATGTCTTAGAATTAATGACCAAAATGGCGTCTGATTTGTACCACGATCTCTACCTTGAAGAGATGCATTAATATAGCATCAGTTGTGCATTGATGGCGTCTCTCTCTCTCTCTTCTGTCTTCTCTCCCCCCCCCCCCCCCCACACACACAAAGACGACAAACAGTCCTGAGGAACTTGTCCCCAGACGGTGGTTATGGAGAGTCGTCGACACAGCAGGGGAAAGGAGAGAAGAAAGAGAGGGGTAGGCAAGAGGGAGGTGAGGGAGAGAGAGGGTGGCGCCTGTAACACAATCCACCTCCCTTAGAGGATCACGCCCCCCTCCTGGCACCTCCTACAGAGTGGGCGGCACCAGGTGGTCAGGGTGGTGGCGTCAGGCACGTGGCACACCCCTCACTCCACCTCCACCCACCCCACGCAAGCTCAAGAGGACCAACCAGCCCCCACGCAAGCTGGGGACCAGCCAGCCCCCACGCAAGCTCAAGGGGACCAGCCAGCCCCCACGCAGCTCAAGGGGACCAGCCAGCCCCCACGCAAGCCAAGGGACCAGCCAGCCCCACTCAGCCAGGGGACCAGCCTGCCCCCACGCAAGCTCAAGGGACCAGCCTGCCCCCACGCAGCTCAAGGGACCAGCCAGCCCCCACTCAAGCCGGGACCAGCCTGCCCCACGCTCAAGGGACCAGCCAGCCACGCAACTAAGGGACCAGCCTGCCCCCACGCAAGCTCAAGGGGACCAGCCAGCCCCCACGCAAGCTCAAGGGGACCAGCCAGCCGCCACGCAAGCTCAAGGGGACCAGCCTGCCCCCACGCAAGCTCAAGGGGACCAGCCAGCCGCCACGCAAGCTCAAGGGACCAGCTCCCCACGCAAGCTCAAGGGACCAGCCAGCCCCACGCAAGCCAAGTGGACCAGCCAGCCCCCACTCAAGCTCAAGGGGACCAGCCAGCCGCCACGCAAGCTCAAGGGGACCAGCCAGCCCCACGACCAGCCAGCCCCCACTCAAGCTCAAGGGGACCAGCCTGCCCCCACGCAAGCTCAAGGGACCAGCCTGCCCCCACGCAAGCCTGGGACCAGCTTGCCCCCACGCAGGCTCAAGGGGACCAGCCTGCCCCCACGCAGCTCAAGGACCAGCCTGCCCCCACGCAAGCTCAGGGATCAACCAGCCCCACGCAAGCTCATGGGACCAACAGCCACCAGCCAGGGACCAGCCTGCCCCCACGCAAGCTCGGGCAGCCAGCCCCACGCAAGCTCATGGGGACCAACCATCCAGCCACACACTAATCTTAAGAAGGGAGACTGGAATGGGGCTAATGGGGAATGGAACTAAGGGAGAGAAGGAGCAAAGGGAGGAGGTGATGGAGAAGGGGAGTTTGGGGAGGAAGTGCCGTGGAAGGGGAGCTGAGGGAGGGTGACGATATTTCAGTTGGTTCTTTCTCTTTTTTCCTCCTTCTCCTACTCTTCCTTTTCTTCCTTCTCCTACTCTTCCTTTTTTTTTCCTTCTCCTACTCTTTCCTTTTCTTCCTCCTACTCTTCCCTTTTCTTTCTTCCTCCCCTTCTCCTACTCTTCCTTTTCTTCCTCCTACTCTTCCTTTTTCTTTCTCCTTCTCCTACTCTTCCTTTTCTTCCTCCCACTCTTCCTCCTCTTACTCTTCCTTTTCTTTCCTTCTCCTACTCTTCCTTTTTTTTCCTCCTACTTCTTCCTCCCTTCTTACTCTTCCATTTCTTCCTCCTACTTCTTCCTCCTCTTACTCTTCCTTTTTCTTCCTTCTCCTACTCTTTCCTTTTCTTCCTCCTACTCTTTCCTCCTTTTCTTCCTTTCTCCTACTCTTCCTTTTTCTTCTTCTCCTCCCCCTCCTACTCTTTCCTTTTCTTCCTTCTCCTACTCTCTTCCTTTTCTTCCTCCTACTCTTCCTCCTCTTACTCTTTCCTCTTTTCTTCCTTCTCCCACTTTCCTTTTTTTTTCCTCCTACTCTTTCTCCTCCCTCTTACTCCTTTCCTTTTTCTTCCTCCTACTCCTTCCTCCCTCTTTACTCTTCCTTTTCTTCCTTCTCCCACTCTTCCTTTTCTTCCTCCTACTCTTCCTTTTCTTCCTCTCCTACTCTTCCTTTTCTTCCTCCTACTCTTCCTTTTCTTCCTTCTCCTACTCTTCCTTTTCTTCCTCCTCCTACTCTTCCTTTTCTTCCTCCTACTCTTCCTTTTCTTCCTCCTCCTACTCTTCCTTTTCTTCCTCCTCCTTGTCCTCTACCCTTCAAGAGAACACCTCAAAACATCAACTATTTATTGACTGTTTTCTCAATCCCTCCAGTCACCTGTTATCACCACGAACCTCACGATGATAGATCTGACTGACTGACTAACTGTACATAATAACACCCACTGGCTAACTGGCTACGGTAGATAACACTGACTTTAATTAGACCTGACTGGCTAACTGGCTATGGTAGATAACACTGACTGGCTAACTGGCTATGGTAGATAACACTGACTGGCTAACTACGTAGATAACAGACTGGCTAATCGGTAGATAACACTGACTGGCTAACTGGCTATGGTAGATAACACTGACTGGCTAACTGGCTATGGTAGATAACACCACTGGCTAACTGGCTGCGGTAGATAACACTGACTGGCTAACTGGCTATGGTAGATAACACTGACTGGCTAACTGGCTATGGTAGATAACACTTGATCACAACTGGCTATGGTAGATAACACTGACTGGCTAACTGGCTATGGGATAACACGACTGGCTAACTGGTTGGTAGATAACACTGACTGGCTAACTGGCTTTGCAGATAACACTGACTGGCTAACTGGCTATGGTAGATAACACCACTGGCTAACTGGCTATGGTTGATAACACTGACTGGCTAACTGGCTATGGTTGATAACACTGACTGGCTAACTGGCTATGGTAGATAACACTGACTGGCTAACTGGCTATGGTAGATAACACTGACTGGCTAACTGGCTTTGGTAGATAACACTGACTCTAACGTAGTGAAACACTACTGGCTATGTACATACTGGCTAACTGTATGTATATATAACTGGAGAAGCAACAGTCGACCAGTTACTATATGGACCCCTCATGTTACGTGCAGGAGTAGCGCTTTCCGGAAACTCCCACATGTACAGACAGACAGACAGGCGGACAGACGGATAGACAGACAGACGGATAGACAGACAGACGGACAGACAGACAGTCGTTGGTATAATCCCAGCTAACAACGTAATCCTTTTCCCGGAAGAGTCTGTGAGAGAGAGAGAGAGAGAGAGAGAGAGAGAGAGAGAGAGGATGGAATGAAAGGAATAAAGAAAGGAAGATAGAAAAATGGAAGGAAAGGAATAAAGAAAGGGAGAGAAGGAAAGAGAGAGAGAGAGAGGGGGTGGAGAGAATGAATAAAGGAAGGAATAAATATAGGAAGGAAGGAAGAAGGAAGAAAGAAGGAAAGGGAGGGAGGAGAGAGGTGGGTTACCTGGTAATTTGTAGGCAACTTTGATAATCCTTCAGACTTCACATAAAATAAATTTCTCTATTTATATTTCTTAATTCATCTCGTAAAGTATTAAGTTGTATCGTGCATATTAATTTACTATTTAAAGAGACAAAAAAGAATGTGGTATTTTATTAGAACTACCACCACTACCACGATCTCAGTACCACGACTACTACTATCACTACCACGATCTCAGTACCACGACTACTACCACTCCTGCCAAGATACCACTATCACTCTACCACCACCACCACTACTACCACTACTAAACCACTAGCATGGAACCTCCAGTACCACGACTACCACCATTACCACTACTACCATCAACCAACCCTACTTCCACCACCTCACCACTACTACCACCAACCCTACCACCACCACCATCACCACTACCACCACCATCATTACTACCACCACCACCAACCCTACCACCACCAATTCTCACCACTACCACCACCACCAACACTACCACCACCACCAACATCACCACCACCCACCACCTCCACTACTACCACCACCAACCACCTCACTACTACCACTACCACCACCACCACCGTCCAGAACACCACCAAGAAGGAAGGAAGGATCTAGAAGGAATGTGAACTACCGTTTAACTGTTGTAACACACTTGGACAAAAACACAGGAGGAGAATGTTTACGAGCTGCTCCTGAACTGTCTGTTGGTGCTGCTCCTCCCGTTAACAGGAGTCCTACACCTCCACAACAGGATTCTTACCTCCCTCCCCCGTTAACAGGAAGCTTACTCTACCCTTAACCCCTTTAAACAGTTTTCTTGTCCGTCATCTGAAAGAATTTATTTTGATTTCGAGTTTTAGGAATTTAGTAACAACAACAACAACAATAATAATAACAATAATAATAATAATAATAATAATAATAATAATAATAATAATAATAAACAATAAATCACAACATAAATTAAAAGCAAAGAAAGGAAGATCAGGTGAGAGAATCATATCAGGTGTGTCAGCGTGTACAGGTTAATTAACGTAGCGCCCTGGGCAGGTACTAAGACCCCTGTGGCACGTGTTGCTCTCTCGGGTGACTGGTGGTGGTGGTGGCACGTGTATCTCTGTAGCGGTGAATGGTGGTAGGTGATGGTGGTACTTATACGCCAATCATGTGACTGGTAGTGATGGTAGTGATGGAGTTATGAAGTTGGTAGTGTTGTGGTAGCTACTACTACTACTACTACTACTCTTCTAGCTCCCTTCCTTACGTCACCACTACCACCACTACTACCACTACCCGGCTGTGATTCCTCCTACTACCATCACTTCCACCATCTACCATCATCCACCATCACCACTCTTCCCTTTCCCCAACACCACCACCATTCCTCCCTTTTCAACACCACCATCACCAACACTCCTCCCTTTCCCCAACACCACCACCATTCCTCCCTTTCCACCATCACCAACACTCCTCCCTTTCCCCAACACCACCATCACAACCTCCTCCTTTCCCCAACACCACCATCCCCCCTCCTTTCCCCAACACCACCATTCCTCCCTTTTCAACACCATCACCAATACTCCTCCTTTCCCCAACACCACCATCACCAACACTCCTCCCTTTCCCCAACACCACCATCACCAATACTCCTCCCTTTCCCCAACACCACCATCCACTCCTCCTTTCCCCAACACCACCATCACCAATACTCCTCCCTTTCCCCAACACCACCAACATCACCACCACTCCTCCATTTCCCCACCACCACCATCAGCACGCCCATGTGGCCACCAGATGCCCAGACCGACGCCCTTTTTTCCCCCTCACACCCACACCACGCGCCACGCCCACGCCAAGGGGGATTAAGACACGGACAAAGAAAGAATAGAAATACCAAATAAGACAAAAAGAAAAGAAATAATAAATGCATAAAAGAAGGAAGGAAGGAAGTAGCCACAACGTAACACGGAAATATGACACGACATAACCCACGGCAAGCAACCCGGGGATAAAGAGTAATGAATGTAGAGTAATGATAATAATGAGAATAAGGATAATGATGACAAATAATAATAATAATAATAATAATAATAATAATAATAATAATATGGAGTGCCATTTCTTATTCAATATAAGCAGCTTATGTAATTATTTTTTGTGGGGGCGAATGAAGACGTAGAAAATGCTCAATAAAGATGAGAGAGAGAGAGAGAGAGAGAGAGAGAGCATGCAGAAATATCCACACAAACTCACATCCACACATTAATAAACATTATATAAACATTAAGGTTAGTTTACCCACGATTATAGTTTCATATCAGTTCACTGTCTGTACTGAATGTGGCTCTGAATTATATACTTTAAATAAAATGTATGTGCTTTATACTAATATTGTTGGCCTTAGTTCATGTGTGTTTGGTAAAGATGTTTAACCTTTTGGGAATTATGGTTTAGCCCTTTGGAATGATGGTTTAACCCTTTGGAATGATGGTTTAACCCTTTAAGGACGATAGTTTAACGCTTTTGAATGATGGTTTAACCCTTTGGAATGATGGTTTAACCCTTTAAGGACGATAGTTTAACCCTTTGAGAATGATGGTTTAACCCTTTGGAATGATAGTTTAACCCTTTAAGGACGATAGTTTAACCCTTTGAGAATGAAGGTTTAACCCTTTTGAGATAATGGTTTAAATCTTTGAAAATGGTGGTTTTTAACCCCTTGAGAATGGCGGTTTAAGCTATCATTTTCAAGTGTTTAAACCATTATTCTCAAAGGGTTAAACCATCATTCTCAAAGGGTTAAGCCATCATTCCAAAGGTTAAACCATCATTCCCAAAGGGTTAAACCATC